ACTGCTCCATTACAGCTGTCGCATGTAGCACCACCACTCTCCCTTGTCCAATTGTCCCCTCCGGCTCCCTCACCATTCTGCACATCCCCTCGTTTGCCAGGAACCTAGTGGGTGTTGGTCACCTCCAGGACCGAGGCGTCACCACTACGTTTCCTGGCCGCGAGAGACACGCCGCTTGCACAGACACAGCCACGAGTCGGCACTTAGCCACGTTTGAGCATGACCCAAGTTCAGGTCTCTTTACACTGCACACTGAGTACCCGCCAACTGTTGCGTCTGCCGCGGTTGCCGCGTCCTGTTCCTGTCGCTCCATAGCCCACCCGACCCTTTTGTGGCACCACCGCTTAGGTCACCCTGCACTCGCGTGTCTTAGGCACATGTCCCAGCATGGTCTAGTCACTGGTCTCCCTGCGTCACTTCCTGCCCTGCCTACATCGGTAACGCTATTGTGCACGTCTTGCGTCGAGGGTCGGCAGCGCACCACCCCTCACTCCCCCTCATTTCCCCCTACCATAGTGCCGCTACAGATGCTGCACATGGATGTCTCGAGCCCTGCCCTTGTCCATGGTCTTAGTCGGGAGCGCTACTTTCTAGTCGTCGTTAACGACTTCTCGCGCTTCACCACCGTATTCCTGTTGGAGCGGAATGCCGACGTGCCTACTGTTCTCCTCCCGTGGCTATTTACTATTCGCACCCACCACCGCCTGCCTGTAGGTCGCTTACACTCTGATCGTGGTGGCGAGTTCGCCTTTGGCACTCTGGGACAGCGTGGTCATGCGGAGGGCATCCGCCAAACGTACACACTGCCGGACTCCCCACAGCAGAATGGGGTCACTGAGCGACGCATCGGCCTGATCATGGAGGTAGGTCACACCTCCATGGTCTACGCCAGTGCAACCCATTTTCCGTGGCTATTCACCATGCGCTACGCTGCTCCCCAGCTTAACTTGTGGCCGCGCTCCAAGCGGCCACATGTTTCGCCTACCCTCCTCGGGACCAGGTCTCTTGGTGATGCGTCTGTGTTCCATGCCTGGGGCAGCCTTGCTCACGTCCGCAACACTCGCACGGACAAGCTCTTAGCCCGCAATCTTCCTTGTGTCTTCCTCGGGTTTCCACTTGACGCCCCTGGCTGGCTGTTCTACCACATGTCACACCACCGCTTTTACCACTCTTGTGACGTTACCGTCGACGAGACACTCCCCTACTACCGGTGCTTCTCGCACTGCAGCACTCCTATGCCTCCTCCTCCTCTCTTCTTTGTCCCTGCCCCGCCTGCCGCACCCCTCGTGCCCCGCTCGGCCCAGTTTGGTGTCTCCCACGCTACTCATTTCCCCTCGGCTGCGCCTTTAGGGGAGTCAGCTGAGTCTGGGGGCCAGCTGTTGGGGGCACGCCTGCTGTCCCTGTGGCGCCTCCACCAGCCTCGGTACCCAAGTACCTCAGCCGCCTCCTCCCTTGCCTTAGCAGCAGTAGCCGTCGCCGCAGCAGAATCAGCAGCCGTAGCAGCAGAAGCAGGGAGCAGTGGGCTCTAGGGGTGCCGGTTCTGGGGGTGCCGGTATTGGTGGTAGTGGCGTTGGGGGTGCTGGTTCTGGGGGTGCGAGTTCTGGGGGTGCTGACTCCGGGGATGCTGGTTCTATGGGTGGTGCGTCCGAGGGTGCTCGTCTTGGGGGTGCTGTCTCGGGGAGTGCCGATGGCAGCCGCAGTTCCACTGGAGGTCCTGGAGAGGACAGGGAATAGCTGCAGTAGCAGCCGCAGCCGTAGTAGCAGGCGCAGCTGCTACGGCAGGAGGAGCCTCAGTTTGCCCTTTGTCTCCCTGATCTTGCTCAAGGTTCCCCTGTCCGCCCGCCCATTCCCCATCCGGTGCGTGACCCTGTTTACGGCCCGTTGTTCCCTCCTCCAGACTCCTCTCCGGCTCGTTTTCCCCCGCGCTCCCCTCCATCCCCGGACTTGTCCCCCATTCCCCCTCGTCCCCAGACCCCTCTTCTTCTCCACTGGGTCCACTGCCCCTCTGGTGCTCGTCCTGTCTCTCCTCGTCGTAGTGTCCACCCCTATGGTCCTCCGTTCTCGTGCTTCTCTAGACCCTGTACTTCCGTTACCTCCTCCGTCATCACTCCCGTAGTACCCCCCTCCTCCCTCTAACGCCACTCGTACGGCTTGTCCTACCCTCTCGCGCTTGCTTGCGTCGCTTGTCACTCACTCTATCGCTCCTCCTGAGACTATCTCTACGATAGTCGCTGCTGTCGCTGACTTTGATGCTAGCCACCGCATTGACTACGCTACTGCTCAAGTCTCTGGTACTGCCCATCCTCCGCCCGTTGGGGGTGCACCTGCCCTTGACAGTGACGTTCTAGAGGACACGCAGTACGAGTTGGCCTACCTTGCTGCCGCTCTTCCCCATCTCTGCTCCATGCTTGTATCCCCAGAGGGTGACCCAGACGCTCTTGTCATCCCTGTTCTGCACTCTTACGCTGAGGCGGTATCGGGACCCTGGGCAGCCCAGTGGACACAGGTCGTGAAGGCTGAGATGACATCCTACAGATCCACAGGCACTTACGTCGACGCAGTTCCTCGCCTGGGGCGAACCTAGTCAATGGCATGTGGATCTACAAGGTGAAGCGCGCATTTGGAGAGCCACCGAAGTTCAAGGCGCGTTACGTGGCTAGAGGCTTTAGTCAGCGTGAGGGTGTGGACTTCTTCCAAACCTTCTCCCCGACCCCGAAGATGACTACTCTTCATGTCCTTCTCCACATAGCTGCGCAGCGTGACTACGAGCTTCATTCACTCGACTTCTCTACAGCCTTCCTGCAAGGTATTCTGCACAAGCAGATCTACCTCCGACGCCCTCTAAGCTTCTCTTTGTCCTTCCCAACTGAGACCTAGTGGAGCCTGCGTCGCCCTGTCTACGACCTTCGTCACGCACCTCGTGAGTGGCACGACATGCTTCGCACCTCTCTTACTACGCCTCAGTTCTTTCCATCCTCTGCTGACCCCTCTCTCTTTGTTCGCACGGGTCAAACATCATTCTACATCTTACTGTACGTAGATGATCTTATCTTTGCTACTCCTGACAGTCGCACTGGCCTCAGTGAAGGCCGAGTTGCTTAGGAGACACACCTGTATAGAGTTAGGAGAACTGAGGCGCTATCTGGGATTGGAGTTCTTTCATGACCAGGCCCACTCAGCACTGCCCACTCCTCTGCCTGTGGATCACAAGCTCTCTGCTCCTATTTTGATTATGCCGGTTGAGGCTAGTGGTCGATACGCAGAGCTGGTGGGGTGCCTCATGTACCTGTTGACCTGCGCTCGACCAGATCTAGCGTACCCTCGCAGTCTCCTGGCTCGCTTTGTCACAACAGGCAGGCACCGTCCAGTCCACTGGTCGGCTGCCAAGAGGTTACTGCAGTATTTGGCGAGCATATCAGGACAGGGGCTTGTGCTAGGATGACAGGAGCTAGTGGTGCTCACTGGACACACAGACTCGTCGTGGGCCGATGACTTGGAGACGCTCAGGTCGTCTCAGGGCTACTGCTTTAGTCTTGGTGCTTGTGCAGTCTCGTGGAGGTCCACCAGGTCGTCGTGTGTAGCACAGTCCTGTTGTGAGGTAGAGATCTACGCTGGGGCCATGGCCGCTCAGGAGCTCCGTTGGCTGTCGTTCTTGCTGACTGACTTAGGTGAGCAGCGTAGGTCTGCCTCGGTCCTGTTTGCTCACAACAGGGCCATGATCCTCCTGTGTAAGGAGGCTCGATTTGAGGGCATGGCGAAGCACATCCAACTACAGTACTTCCTGCTACGTCAGTTGCAGCAGCGCGATCAGGTTCGTGTGGTATAGTTAGCCTCAGAGGCCAACATCGGTGATATCTTCACTGAGGCACTTTCGTCTTGTGACCATCAGCGATTCTGTACTCAGCTTGGTCTAGCCTCAATAGCAGCACCACTTCTTGTATCCTGAGTCATGCTATACTTGTTTGTACTTGTTGTTCTATACATGTTTGTCTTGCTACACTTGCTGACTGGCCTTGCAGCCTCTTGTCTCAATGGTTAGACTAGTAGTGTTGCCCTTGTGTTCTTTTCTTTGTTATGAACTGCCACTATGTCGGCTAGGGGGTGTGTCAACAAATATAATTATATAGGCTAGCTAGTTTCTATTCGTTATAGCCTTAGCTAGGTCAATTCTTAGAGGGTGCAGTCCTACCTTTGTAACCCTCGACATTTTCCCTCATATTAGATTGTCGAGAATGATTTTCTCTCGACAATCTAATATGAGGTTCTCTTTGCATTTTTAACTCGCCTCATTATGTACGGATTTCCAGCAAAAATAAGTCGTACGGAATCAAAACAAGGTACAATTCATATTCGACAAATGCAAACTCCGCTAAGCGAATTTTTGTGCATGAAGCGAATTTTTGGCCCGTGCATTACCCTCGATTTGCAAATAGTTGTGCTTATCACCGTTGCACCACTGGCATATGGACAATATCCCGTAATGTGAAGGAATCGGACGAAAAGTAATCCGTTAGGAAGTCGAAATCAAGAGAACTTTACTGTGGGGAAAAAAAAAAACAAAACAAAAAAAAAACAACGGAATCGGGCCGAAAACAACTCTTAATTTTGCAACATAATGTATAATTACCCCTCTAGCCAGGGCCCTGACCCAAGGAATCCCGTACTGAACGACCATCCCCCAACCAGGGTCACATCAGTACTGTATATAATTCCTTATCATATTTATCGAAGCCCTATAGAAAGAATACTGAACTTTTGTGACATGTATTGGAAGTCTTATCATACTACAGTATTTTGATTCATGTGTCAGTTAAACATTATTCTTCTTATTTTTGTTTTCATCCAATTGCAAGAGCAATAGCACCTAGCATTGGTAAAAAACTTTCAGCATCTGGTACGTTAAAACGAAGTTCCCATAAATTATGCCAAATTCCCAACCTCCTCCAACAACGCTTTACCCCTCGTTCCCGCATTTCCTCTTTGCAACAATCCCTTGGCTGCCGTTTGTGCCACGGTTCTTGGATTTGTTACACAACCAATCGGGTTCTCATATACCGAAGCCAAGCATGGGTAAGCCCGAGGAATCGTCCTCCGCAATTCCCGCCGAAAGTGGCGCCGAGCCCTCGTCGTCGGCGCCACGTGGCAACGACGGCGATGCGGAAATAGAGGAAGACGAGGGGTGGGTGTACGACTCCAACGACGACGAGGACGACGACATGATCTTAATCCGTGGCGCTGACATCAGCGGGCGCGGCGCGGCGGCAAATCTGCCCGAGGGGATGGAGGAGGTGGTGCGCGCCGCGGAGGAGGGCGACTCGGACGCTCTAAGAGACGCGATTCGTACGTTGCGGTGTGGGTATGCCTCTCACTACCACATACGTCGGTATTCCTGTCTCTAACCCTTTCGTCGTTCTCTCACCTCTCCCCTCTCCCCTCTCCCCTCTCCCCTCTCCCCTCTCCCCTCTCCCCTCTCCCCTCTCCCCTCTCCCCTCTCCCCGCTGCCCCCCATGCAGAGGGGTTGTCGGTGCCTCTTGATTCACCGGGAGAGGATGGCAACACGGCGCTGCACCTGGCGTGTCTGTACGGCCACACGGCGTGCGTGGAGGTGAGGCGTGCGTGAGGCTTGGTGGACATAAGCATCTGCAGGCGCACGCTCACCATGGGCAGGCGCATGCTCAACATGGGCAGGCGCATGCTCAACATGGGCAGGCGTATGCACACCCTTGCTCGGATACGTCTATGCGCCACGTTGTTCCCGTGCCACCCCTGCTCGGATGCATGCGTGTGCCGATGTTTCCGATCCGAGCAAGGGTGTATACATCGGCAGGCGCATGCACGCCCTTGCTTGAACATGTGTGCGCGCATGAGATTTTTCCTCTCGCGCATGAGATTGTTCCTCTCGCGCACGCCCAGACACACACGCGCGCGTTTGTTTCCTTCCCTCTCCCCCACACCTTCCCCTTCTCTCGCTCCCCCCACCAGCTATTGCTTGCTGCCGGGGCTGCGCTCGAGGCCCGGGACGAGGATGGGGCCATTCCTTTCCACGACGCCTGTGCTGGAGGTGGGTGGGTGAAGTGGAACTGTGGCTGACGCAATGCATGCATGCATGCATGTCCCCCCGCCCCCCCCCCTTTCACATACTCGTACTCACACACCTACACACCCACACACACACGCACCCACACACCCACACACACACACACGCACACCCACACATACACGAGGGTGCGTTGCGTGCTTTCCTTCCAACCTTGCATTCCTCCCCCCAGGCTTCTCTGACGTGGCGGGCATGCTGCTGTCAACGGCAAGCGACGCGGAGCAACGCCCCTCCATCCTCTTCCAACTCACCCCACTCACTCCAACCCCTTTCAACCTCTTCCAACTTCCACCCTCCCCCCAGACTTCTCCGACGTGGTGGGCATGCCGCTGGTGGGCGTGCCGCTGTCAGCGGCATGGGATGCAGAGTAGAGGAGACACACGTGGGTTGTGCAAACACCACACCCAGTATGCTCTCCCTCCCACTTGTCCCTCCCCCCAGGCTTCTCTGACGTGGTGGGCATGCTGCTGGCAACGGCAAGCGATGAGGAGCAGAGGAGGCGCATGATCGCAGCACAGGATGGCGATGGGGACACGGTGAGGCATGGGATGGGTGGGGTGGGGGAGGGATAAGCCCTCTGACTAAGGGCGCATGATCGCAGCACAGGATGGCGATGGGGACACGGTGAGGCATGGGGTGTCTCAAATTTCTGCCCTCTTTTTTTTTGTCGTAACTTCGTATTTGTCATCAACACTGGGAGATATGATGCCAAACCCTCCTCCTCCCCCCCCCCCCCTCCTCTCTTATTTCCCCCCTTCTCTTCTCCATCTCCTTCCAGCCCCTGCACAATGCAGCACGGGGTGAGCACCCGTCTGTCTGCCGGCTACTGCTGGATGCTGGAGCCAACGCTGCTGCGCCCAACTATGCTGCTCAGGTGTGTGGGTGCCACTGTGGGTGGCAGTAGGGTGTCATTGTGTTGCTCTAGCATGCAGCACGGGGCGAGCACCCATCTGTCTGCAGGCTACTGCTGGATGCTGGAGCCAACGGTGCCGCGCCCAACCATGCTGGTCAGGTGTGTGGGTGGCTGTGGGGTGTCATCGTGGGATGGCGGTGGGGTACCGTTGGTAGGCTGCTGCTGGATGCAGGAGCGAACCCCAGAGTTGCCAGCCGTGCCACTCAGCAATGGTGGTGCTTACACGTGTAAGCTGAGGGGCATGGTTGCCCTTGCCATGGCAGCACGTGTAAGCTGCGGGGCATGGTTGCCCTTGCCATGGCAGCACGTGTATGCTGCGGGGCATGGTCGCCCTTGCCATGGCAGCACGTGTAAGCTGCTGACACGTGTTGCCATGGGAAGAGTGACGTTGTCGCAGGGTGGATCTAGAGTATATCATGTGCAGTTGCAAAAGGCTCGGCATACAATACCAGCACGAATGACTGACAGCCGGTCTCGCATCGAGCATGCCTGGCTTGTTGGAATTGTGGGGGAGATATTGCCCCCCACACCAAGGACCTCCCTTGACTTGGACCAAGGGAGGTTGGGTACTAGGAAGGAGTGGCGACGGCGGATTTGTCCGCGTCGCCACGCAACCAAGTTCCCCCTTGGTTGGTCGGAAAAAGTTTGAAGGGCGCCACTTGGCAGCCCCTCAAGCACTTGCGAAAATTGATTGGAGTGTAGCGAAAATTGAAACTTTCGCTATACTCAATATTTCGCAAGTTCGGAACAAGTCAACGCATGACGCGGTTGACTTGGACCAAGCTGCGTTCGGACTTGGAATCGAGCTGCAGACTAAACAGAAATTGGACGCAACCCCAAAGTCCGCTTGACCAAACTTGCTTGCTTGTTAGTTTAAAATCCTGAGAGGAAAAAACTGTATGAGCATTCCATTCAAGTATCTTGTACCCACCTCTATATGATTGACTGGTTCTTCCTCAATTCACAAGCTTTTGAGCCGATTCCAGTTGCTACGTGTGCGCCATTCCGAGGCCGTTATTTCGATCCTACTCACGCCTCCTAAGACGCCGACCTCTGGTCGTGGCGTCACTTACTACAGGGCGGTTTAGATTTCTTTCATGGCTTCCATGCATCCATGATTGAGTCCCCTTCGTTCATGGATGCCTGGAAGGCGATTCAATCATTCAAACCTTCGTTCTCCTTGTACCTTTAGTTAGGAGATTTTGTTTGACACGTCTCTAAGCAAATCTTCGAAGGGTACATTCCTACAAACCTCTCGCCTTGCCAGTTTGCAAAATGACGAGAGGTTCTCGTTTACTACAGAGCGCGTCACTTTTGCGCATCGCGCAAATGCGAAATTTGGTTGAGCGAGATTGGCCCCCGCAAAATCCGTCAGCCCTAAACACCAATGGGCTGTGTTTGCGCGACTGAAACAGTTTCACACCAATTCCCAAATTTTGGGAGTTCCTGACCAGCAAGAATGCACGAAACCGAAACTCGGGCTGCCCGGGACGTGTTATTCTGTACGTTCGACAAATGTGGTTTGCTGGTGGTGTTTCGGTCAGCCAGTTTCGACGTTTCAAAAATTGTTCAAAAGGCATGTTTGATTAACGGAATGTGCACATACACAGCGGACCATTACAATTGTGCCATCTGGATGTGGCGGAGGGTCGCAAGGAGTCGCACATGCAATATCCAATCTGCCGAGAGGTTAGGGCAAACTGCCGTGCAGCTCGGGAAAAACGTACAAACAGACGAATGGCCAGACTGCCATAGGTCGTAGGAATGTACCCTAACACGTGGCTTCCAGGCATCCAGGATTGAATCAATCCCCTTCATTCATTGCATCGTTCTCCTCGTATCCTCAGCCGTCCTCTCTTCTCTCCTGCTTCCTCCCTTGCACTCCTTATCGGCTCCCTAATGACATTGTTTGACTCAACTCATGAAACGCCATCTGCCTCCTGAATACCCCCTTGGTCTGCTGTACTCCTTCTTAGGTGCCCTGGCAACTGGTTGAGGATGACAGTGAGCTCCGCACATTCTTGCAAGCAGCAGCTACATCCACTGCCCAAGCCCTTTAGTAGAGGTTGTTTAGGAGAGGGATTTCTTAGTATAGGGGGGGTGACAAACAGAACGAGCCCAAATACCACTAGGCTCCTGCTTTCTTAGGATAGGGGTGCGCGCACCTCCCCTAACTAGAACGAGACTCAAACTGGGTATTGCCGGCACTAGTGCAAGGAAAACGATGTCACGTCCCCCGACGTCCCACGATACAGTGCGATACAGTGCGTACAGTGCGTTTTCTCACGATCAGGAAGCTTCATGTGCATTCAGAGGTGGTGGCTCAACGCCACAAGCGTGACGTCGCACTATTCAGCTACTTGTTACCCCCCCCCCTTAGTGTTCAGTGGTCAGTTGGTCACACAGAGTAGAGAAAAAGGAAATAAGTGTTACCCATAAGCAGTGAAGATGCTGCCATTGCAAGTAAAGAAGCAAGCTTTCTCAATGTTTAGCGTGGCATTTGCTTTATTTTGAATGCTTTGCGTGACGAGGAGAGATTGACACCCAGCCCAGCACTCTAACCATATTGACAGACTCTACCAAACCTACTAAGGGTAGAAAGAAGCACAAGATGTGCCCACTGCCCACCCTGCTGCATTCAAACAAGCTACTATCCTGCTCATCGAGGCACCAAGGTACTTTCCCTCCTGCTCTCCTACCTACTGCCAACCCCTGGCCTGTGTTCCTTCGTACGACAAACTCTCACAACTTTATTGCCTCAGCCGCGACGCGAACCCCAGCAGCTGCTCCTACTGTTAGCAGCCCTCTGCTTTACCCTACTCCCTTCACCACTAAACGTCAGCAGGAGCAAGCGCAGCAACAGCACTGATGCCACGTCAATCCTAACAACCCTCACAATCCTATGAAACCCATCAGCAGAACAGCATCAACGCTGGATTAGCCATTAGCACCACCATCACCAGCACCACCAGCACCACCAGTGCCAGCACCAGCACCAGCACCACCAGTGGCAGCAGCAGCAGCAGCAGCAGGAACACCATTAATGTCAGTCAACCTTTTAACCCTCACAATCCTGTGCTGCTGCAACACCATCACCACCACCACCATCGCCAGCAGCACCGCACCAGCATCACACCCCCACCAGCACCACATGACCCCACCAGTATCACCCCATCCTCCTCATCTTCCTCAACCTCCCACCCCCACCAAGGTCCTCCTCCTCCCCTTCGCCCCCCCTCCCTCCACCGTACCCCCCTCCTACCCCTCCCCCTGCCCGACTCTCCGTCTCCCTCGCGCGATTCCGGCTGATCTTGCGAACCGGCGCCTCATGCTGCTGCTGCGTCTGATAGAACGCCCCATCCGCCCCTCCTGCTTCTGCTGCTTCTCCTGCTCCGCCTGCTGCTCTTGCTCCTCCCTCTCCTGCCCCTCCCCCTCTTGGCATGCGGGCACTCATCACCTCGTCTCCCTCAGGAACAGACTGGCACAGCTTCTGCTCGCAGAGCAACCAAGAGCGGAAAGGGAAGAGCAGAGGAATCACGTTAAGCTCGAGTCACATGCCACTTTCTGAGCATGCCACTTTCTGAGCATGCGGCCGCTCTTTGCCCTCTCTCCCTCGACTTGTGCACTTTGTGGATACAGTGTAAACAAGATTGACCTGGTCACTCCTTACCAATCGAACCAGCAATATCCACTCCCAACCTCTCCCCTCCCCACCCTTCCCCCCCTCACCTTCCAGTCGTTGATGTCCAAGCGCATGACGAACTGCCCGTTAGCCTCACCATTCTAACTTACCAACCGAACAAGCAATGCCCCTCCCTCCCTCCCCACCCTTCCCCCCCTCACCTTCCAGGCGTTGATGTCCAAGCGCATGACGAACTGCCCGTAGCCTCACCATTCTAACTTACCAACCGAACAAGCAATGCCCCTCCCTCCCCTCCCCACCCCTCCCCCCCTCACCTTCCAGGCGTTGATGTCCAAGCGCATGACGAACTGCCCGTTAGCCTCACCATTCTAACTTACCAACCGAACAAGCAATGCCCTCCCTCCCCTCCCCACCCTTCCCCCCCTCACCTTCCAGTCGTTGATGTCCAAGCGCATGACGAACTGCCCGTTAGCCTCACCATTCTAACTTACCAACCGAACAAGCAATGCCCCTCCCTCCCCTCCCCACCCTTCCCCCCCTCACCTTCCAGTCGTTGATGTCCAAGCGCATGACGAACTGCCCGTTAGCCTCACCATTCTAACTTACCAACCGAACAAGCAATGCCCCTCCCTCCCCTCCCCACCCTTCCCCCCCTCACCTTCCAGTCGTTGATGTCCAAGCGCATGACGAACTGCCCGTTGGCCTGGCCGCTGCTAGACGCGGGCTCCGGAGCAGGCGGGCGGAGATCTGATGGCCAGGGGACAACGGAGCAAGGGGAAAACAAGAGGGGTCAAGATGGGTCACAGTGGCCCAGTAGGGTGATTGCAGACATTGTGGAGAAAACAATGTGAAAACAACAGCGAAAACAACAGCGGAAACAAAGAGCACAACAACAAGCAACCACAGGCCAACTCACCCACTCAAGCTCCTGCAACAGGACCGGGCCTCAGCCCCACGCGGCCCTCCTTGATGAGGACGTTGACAAGGAACGAGAGAGCAAACATGCTCTCCATCGCGTGCGCAAAGGACGACCCCTGCAACAAGCGCACATGCCATCTACTGCACAGCTCAAGGAACCACCCAAGCACCCAACAAGCACAAACAGGCCAACTCACCAGCAGCAGCCCCTGAAACAGGGTCCGGCCTCAGCCCTACGACCCTTCCCGCCTTGACGAGGAACGAGAGGGCGAACATGTTCTCAACCGTGTGCGCGAAGGACAACCCATGCACCCTGCACCATATGCACACCTGCCAACAAGAGCACCATGCGAGGACACAACAAGCAAACACATGCCAGCTCACCGACAGTAGCTCCCGAGACAGGGTTGGGCCTCAGCCCCACGCGGCCTTCCTTGACGAGGAACGAGAGCGCGAACATGTTCTCCACCGTGTGCGCAAAGGACGACCGCGACAGCAGCAGGTGCGGCAGCTGCACGCGGTGCTGCGGCGCCCTCTTGAGCCTCCGATACATCTCCTTCACCGTGCCCTCCGTTGCCGTCTCCTTGCTGCCCCCCTCTCCCCCTGCTCCTTCCCCGTCCTTGCCCTTCCCCTTGTTCAACTGCTCAAACAACAACGAGAGGGGGACAGGAAGAGGTGAGGTGAGAGAGTGGCGGCAGCTGCACGCAGTGGCGTGGCGCCCGCTTGAGCCTCCGGTACATCTCCTTCACTGTGCCCTCCGTTGCCGTCTCCTTGCTGCCACCCTCTCCTCCCGCTCCCTCCCCATCGCTTTCTCCTTGTTTGCCGCTTATGGGCACGAATGCCAAGCGTGTGGTGTGAGAGTGGTGGTAAGAATGCCAAGCGTGTGGTGTGAGTGGTGGTAAGAATGCCAAGCGTGTGGTGCGAGAGTGGTGGTAAGAATGCCAAGCGTGTGGTGTGAGAGTGGTGGTAAGAATGTCCAGCGTGGCAGGAAAGCAGGGGGGAGCAGCAGAGAGGGAGCATGTGGTGAGTGAGTGGTGGCAGCTGCACGCTGTGCCGCTGGGCCCTCTTCAGCCGGCGGTACATCTCCTTCACTGTTCCCTGTCCCCTCCATTGCCGCCTCCTTGCTGCCACTAGCGCCTTCCCTCCCATCTCCTCTCCTCATTCGCTGCGCCACCCTTCTCTGCCACTCCCTTGCTTCCCCTCTTCACAATTGGAAAGGTAACGGTTGACGAGATGATCACAAGTTCGGTATTTGGTGCGGCAACCAGCTCACTTCCGCGGAACAACCCGGTAACCAGCTCGCCTGTGCGGGAACCACCCGATAAACAGCTCACCCCTGCATCAACCACCTAATAAGCAGCTCACCTCTGCATCAACCGCCTAATAACCAGCTCACCACTGCATCAAGCACCTAATAAGCAGCTCACCTCTGCATCAACCACCTAATAACCAGCTCACCTCTGCATCAAGCACCTAATAGCCAGCTCACCTGCGCGGGAACCACAGTGGCCCCCACCGCCTCTCTCTTGCGCCTCACTCCTGCCGCCCTGCGCTTGGGTGCCTCCGCCTCCATGGGCCCCAGCCTGCTCCACATCAGTCAAGGGGAAAAGAGGGGGAAGATCACGGCAGAAGAGGCGAAAGGGGCGGCGGGGAGGACTGAAACGAGGGGGGGGAGAGGGGGGGGGGGAGGAGGGTTGGGTGACGGGGGAGGGGGAGAGGATGCGGGCAAGCTACTGAGGCATGCATAGGAAACGACAATGCATGATGCATCCTCGAATTCGCAGGTAAAAGACGCTGTCATCCAGCCACTCACATGGTGCCGATTGTCCAAGCCGGCCGCACCAGCTCAAGCCCGAAATCCCTCCCCATCTGCACCCAATCCAGCACACCCTCCTCCCCCTCTCCTCCTCCTTCCCCTCCCTCCTCCCCCTCATCCTCCCCTCCCTCCGTCTCCGCGCCTCCCCGTCCCCTCCCCCGTCCCCCCCGCCCCCTTCCGCCGCGCCCCCATGCCCGCACAGCCCCGGGCGCACGAGGTACTTCTTCCTAAGCGCCGCAACAAACTGCTCGGGAGTGGCGGCGTGGCAGCGCACGAGGGCGTCGGTGGACTGGGAGAGCACCTGCAAGAGGCCATCGAGGAAAGGGGCAAGGCAGGGGAAAGGGTGGCAGACAGAAGGGTGGTTAGACGCGCCAGGAGTGGCGGCGTGGCAGCGCACGAGGTATCACACGTGCTCGAGGGGACTGCGGGAGAGCACCCACCTGCGAGAGAGCACCCACCTGCGAGAGAGCACCCACCTGCGAGAGGCCGTCCAGCATGTCGGCGTCCATAAGCTTCTCGCGCATCTGCACCTTCCCGTCCCTGGAGGTCAGCTTGCTGCCTGGTACAGCTTAGTGCTCACCTCAACTGCGTGAGAACCCCTACCCGCGGGAGAGCACCCACCTAGGAGAGGGCACCCACCTGGGAGAGAGCACCCACCTGCGAGGGGGCACCCACCTGCGAGAGGCCGTCCAGCACGTCGGCGTCCATAAGCTTCTCGCGCATCTGCACCTTCACGTCCCTGGAGGCGCCCAAGTCGGTCGTCAGCTTGTTGGCTTTATCCAGAATCTCTTCAAACTTGGACGACCCGATGCTCAGCTCGTTGCGGTTGGAGCACTCTGGTGAGGGACAGCAGGAAAGGGTTGGATGAAAGTGACTCGGGCTGAGACCAAGGTGTCCGATACTGGACCAAATACCATAATCAAACACCTGAAATGACCAAGGCGATGTCGATGCTAAAAAGAATCGGATGCCAATGCCAAGAAACAAAATTCAGCACGATATTTTGATGGCTAAACAAACAAGAAATCAGTACTAAGAGAACGAGTGGCAAAGATGTCTCTACGGTACTACGACGTTTTTAGTCAGGCAATGGCTCACCGCAAAAACATCTCACCCGCAACTTGCGCCTGAAGGCCTCTCAGGTGATTCCTAACCTCCCGGCGCTTCACGCTATTCGCCATATTAGCCGCCCCCTCGTTCTCCTGGTTCTCCCGCCTGTCCCTCTGCCGGTTCGCCTGCCGATCTCGGTTCAGAGCGGTACCGGCAGGTACCGCAACAGGACCGACACGTTGTTGCTGAGTCGATGGCGGCATTCCCGAAAAGGAGTCTAACCCTAAATTTACGGTTCTGGTAGCTAGAACCTGGCGAAGTTTAAACTGTCGACTAGAATGCTCTCGAATCCGATTCTCCCAACCGATACTTAGTTAGAGACCGTAGAATTAACAAAAGGCGTCAGGACATTCAGATGCTGCGCCTCAGCTGAACGGACTCGATGGCAGCAATGACGGTACCCAGCGTTTTAGGTCAGAACATGAAGACTGGATACGGGGCCACGTCGATTCAATGGCTGGCGAACCCAAGAGGTCGCGCGGTGCAGAAAAGCACTAAATGGCTAGTGAGATGTAGGGATAGTGAAATGATCGAAGAACCTGGATGGTAGACCTTCATCGGCTGTGTGCATGGCAGCTGGGAGTTCCTGGCAAAAACGCTGTTATCGTCTTCCCAAACCAGGGCGGTGAAACCCTAGATGATTGAGGCGAGATGGAGGAGTATGAAAATTGTGCGTGACGAAAAGGGTTGCACTTGCACCAGAAACGAGAGCTTCTAGAGAAGATGTGCTCGCGACCCCAACCTAGATAGCAGCTCAAGCACTATGAGAAGCTTTTGCAAGCATGCCTTGAAGTTACTTCAAAGTGACGCCAACCTGTTTGAACGTTTGCCCTCGTTTTCCACAGCAGTAAAGAAACGCGCGGGAACTTGGCGCAGTGTTTGCGCAGGTTGCGGATAGAACGGTGTTTCAATCATTGCACGAACTCCGCCTTCTCTTTGGTACTCATTAAAACAGGGGTAATCTATCTAGAAACCCTAATTACCTCCAAAGAGACCACCTACCACCCCTCGTGTGGCCCAGCACGCGCTGGATCTGACTGGGTTGTTTGTCAGACGTAATTCCCACTCGTGTTTACATAATGAGTCTAACAAGAAATATATTCCTGGATTGGTGGCAGTGCACATATTGGGGTGGGGAAGCGGACTAGCAGGAGGGGCGGGCGCAAGCAGAGCGGCTCCCTAAAATTGGCGCAATGCTAAGGCTTGGCGGGAAGAGTTGCCGCGTCCTGAGAAATTTGCGTCATGCTGACAATGCCTGTTTGGATTCTTGGCTTTCGGCATTCCACACTTTGAAATCCTTCGTTATGAGGAGAGTGCAGTATTGTTTCTAGCGCAGTACAGCCAGCTCATTTCGCTTGCACGAAGTACATAATCTTGTGCAGCTACCCAAAACCCCTCCACATGTCATTTACCCAAAATGACCAAGAGCACAGAAGTGGTAGACATGTAGGTAGGCATGTTTGCTTTGCTTGTCCCATCGTATATGCATCTAATAAAGATTCATGCAATGCCAACTGGCTACCCCTAGTCTTGCGCTACATGCAATAACACTAGCTGCAAAAAATGTTGAACCATGGAGGGACCTCCTGGCTGAACAGACTCCCACGATCTACCTAACCACTACTTCACTTCTTTCCCTGATCAGCTTCATTCGAACGAAAGTTACTGCTAACCATGTGCTTTGGCTTGTATTCGTATGGAGCGGACTTGGGACCCCACACCTGCAGAAGCAAAGGAAGAAAAGGGGAAGACATCATGCTGTGGTGAGTACAATAGGGTTATAATGTGCAAGTGTACAATACAGCAGATGAAAGTTGAAATGACAATAGCATACCTGCACCCCATCATCCTTGTAGCCTCTATCCCAGCTATGGACTTCTCCACTACGAAAGAGAGTGAGCTCTGAGGTGCATCGAGTGGCTCCATTCTGCAACGGCACAATGCAAAACAACAGAACTTTGACGAGTTGCCGTGAAGTACATAGTCATGAAGCAGAAAACGGAGAACAAGGGGTGAACAAAATGTCTTGTGATGCCACACAAAGCGTGGGAGTACGGGTCAGAAATCAGCAAGCACTCACCCAGTTGTTTGGAAAACCTCCTGGAGGTGTGGACCCCTCGTATGCACACTTCCGCCCCCCCTCACACCGTGAAAGGTAGACCGTCGCAAGGTGCTCCGAAATGTCCTGGTGCACAGAAGCAGATGAATTTCTTATGAAAATCATGGACGAGCTCGAACTACAAGGGTACATTACTCGTTATACTTCCATAACGGGTGAACAGGGAGCAACTACAACAACATGTACCCAACTACAACATGGATGGAACAGTGAGCTTACCCCAATGACTTCCTCTGGTTGTGGCCGTTGATTCTTTGGTCGCTCACAGAAATTGCGGTACTCTTCAACATCTCGTAGAGCATAGCTGGCCACCTGCAGGGGCAGTGACAAGGCAACGAAGAAACTATGCAACACGAGATGAACCGATATCTCACCCTAGAGGGACAGAAATGCATGCACCTTTCAAAATATGAGAGATGCAAACACAACATGAAAGTTCGAAGAAAGGCAACTCACCTCAGCATCGCACTTCATTTCCTTGGCGCACGGCCTCACAACATAGAAACGCTGCAGGCATGCAGAAAGAATGGATGAAGTGAGGAATGATAAACAAGCAGTTGATAACCAACCAAAATGAGGCTGACAGAGAAAAGGTGAAAAAAACAGTGGGCACAAGGCATAGACACTGTAGGAAGCTCAAAACATGACAACTGGATGTCACGAAAGAAGAGGAGATGCACCTGGCGAAAAGGCTTTTCTGGTGATCTCCAAAAAGCCTGCACAGACCACACAACGAACAGGCGAGCATCTCAGATTCTAGGGACAAAATGGTCAATGGCCGATGTGAAATGGATCCTCTACGTGAGTCTACACAACATTTATGGGGCGACCGCTTGGTGGTGCAAGAGGAATGGTGGGGTGTGCAATGCGATTCTGTGGGAGGAGTGCAAAAGGACATACAAATACTAAAGGACTGAAGGCACACTAACTCCGACTCTACCACGCTAAGTACCTGCTCGCAGTAAAGGACACGAGAGCCGTCTTCCAGAACTGCTGCTGGACAAGAATCGAGCCTGAGGTGTAGAAGCGTTTCAGGAAACGGCCGGGAGAAGAAGAAGAATGAGGAGTGGACGGCTAAGGGCGAGGGCTGATAGCGACGACACGAGTATATGATTGTCACATGGTGATTATAACGCAACTACGAAATTCGAGGGTGACGCGATTATGCAAATCGACAGGCACCTCAGATTGAAGAAGTTAGCGGGGTCGCGTGCTGCTTGGTCAGCGGAAAACTGCAGGGCAAGAGGATCGACGAATTAGCTACTTCACCTACAGAGTTAAACACACGAAAGCTGATACGACGACGAGCTACCTACCTTCTCTCCGGTCAACAGATTAGTAACCTCGCGACAGTGATCCCTCCTAGCCCGGCTAACTAATCTCTTCAGTATGTACGCTCCACCCAGCACGCAAGCGGCCTTGATAATAACGCCTTGGTTCAGCCATTTGGGCCCGCCACTACCGGAATCTTCGGAACCACCCTTGTCAGCTCCTGACTCCCGCTGATCATGCTTTGCAGCGAGAGGCGGTCCGACGCTAGGTTCCATCTTGCCACTAAAAACAAGACCAGGGCAGTGTAGTCTAAAAGTCCAGGGAGGGAACAGGCTCTCGCCAAAAAAAAAAAAAGGTACAACAGTGTCAGACCAACACGAAAGGAAAATAAGTCAGTCTTACTCACTTACGACTAATGTGGGTGCTGTTTGTATCAGTCTAATCTGTCCTGATCTCTATGGTCTCTAGCTCCAGGATTGACGATTGGTGTTGCGAATGGCAAGCCGTCTGCGACGTTGGCGAGCAGTCGTGATTAGTTCTCGCGAAGTTCGCTCCAAGGCAAGCCTTTTGTGAGCGTTTGCCACGTGGGATGACAGATGTAGCAAACGAGGATAGCTGTAGGAGAAATAGAAAGCAGGTAAGAGCAAGTGAAATGAAGGCACGCAAATAGCCAGGTCTCCATTCTCACCTCATTTTCAAGACACGTCATTCATATCACCTTGACATAGGCAATGTGCTTTATTCCATACTACCAGATGTATTTTCCTCGTTCTGTAGTAAGAGGTGCCATACAAGCTGGTCAGAAGGGGGAAATCACAGTAGAGCTAGGATACGCAGGGTGAGACCAAATGACCTCACATCCCTCTTTTGTAGCCAAACGAGTATAAGTACCACTTCGCCGCTGCAGTTGCTGCATTGGCCTAAGCTGCACTTTCAGTCCATTTTATAAACAGGACGAATCAGACCCAGCCAGCCATTGCTATGCCCGAGTCACTTAAAACTGTGCCTTACCACCCCTCCGTGCATCACTTCCCCCGCTCCCTGACCCGCTAGGCTCACGTGAGCGATGATCTGAAGCATTTCTATACCTTCCTCCACTTCCCCTTCCACCGCCACCTCTTGAACTAGACCCCATCTGCCCCCCCTTCCCTCCACCAGCGCCACCACCAAATTTAAGCGGCACCACAGGCATCAGGGGGTAACTTGACCCTTCCAGATTCATCTTGTATGCGGCTCTCTCAGAGGGAGAGAGGCGGAAGGGGAAGTGGCGGAACGAAGGAGGAAGGGCCGCCAACTCAGGGATCCAGTGAGCAACATAATCGCCATTGGGGTCGTACGTAGATGCCTGAATTGGATCCCGATTGGAGAGGACGGGGGAGGAAAATAGAGGAGAGTAAGCGCACAGAGGGATTGATTCGCACGCATGTCAGAGGAACCAAAAAAAAGGTGGACCCACATTCAGCCAGCATTAGAACTGGCCTCGTGCAATCGGCCACAAGCCATAATCATTTCAAAGCACATGCCGGTTCGGAAGACATTCCAAATCAGGAGCACTCGCCTGTTTTGGGATGCTGAAGTAGCGATCCTCTCTGGGATCATTGCCCACACCTGCAGTCATGAGCGCATGGGGGGCATGCATGCACCGTGATGAGTGGCTGGGGGCGTGGCAAGAGAATGAGTGGGGTAAGGCATGCATGGCATGATGTCATGCAACTGAAGAAAAGCAAGTCAAGAGAAGCATGATGTCCATGGACAGGCATGATGTCCATGACAGCATGATGTCATGAACAGGCATGATGTATGGATAGCATGAGTCCATGACAGCATGATCATGGACAGGCATGATGTCCATGACAGACATGAGTCCATGGATAGGCCATGATGACCCATGGACAGGCCATGATGTCCCATGGACAGGCCCTTATGTCCCATGGACAGCTTAGTCCATGGACAGGCCCTTATGTCCCATGGATGGACAGGCCATGGGAGCTGGATGATGGGAATGCAATAGCGGACTGCTGCTGGGAGGCATGGTGGTTGCAGAAAACGGTGGTTGAGAGGCGGTGGTTGTCAACAGAGCTTTACCCGCGCCATAGATTGCCATGCCATCTCACCAGCGCCATATGTCCAGTTGCCATAGTTGGAAGCAGGGTCATAGTCAATGAGCAGCGACTCGAACCACTCCGCCCCCATGCGCCAGTCCATGCCCATGTCCCGCACCAGGAACGAGCACACTATCTGCAGCATGCATGCATGGGTTGATGGGTGTGGGTGGTGGGTGATGGGAACTTAGTCAATGAGCAGGGATGATAACCTCTCTGCCCCCACGCGCTAGTCCATGCCCATGTTCCGCACCAGGAATGAGCTCACTATCTGCCGTGGTGCAAGGATGGGTGGACGCATGGATAGAGATAAGGTCGATACGAGAGGCACACTCAGAAAGAAAGAAATGTCCAGAGCAGGTGCCCATCATACATATGAATCTGATCATTTGTTTTACAACTACATGACTACATGAATATTTCTCTTAGAAAACAGCTGGATAGCAGGCAGCCATCTCACACAGGATGTGACGAAGCCGATCAGGCCCGACCGCACTCAGCTACGCACCAGACCAGTCCCCAGCTGGAAGCACGCCGAGCCTGTTCCGTACCTGTCTGCCTCGGTTTGACATGAAGCCTGTTGCTGCTAGCTCGCGCATGTTGGCATCAACCAGGGGGTACCTGGGGCAGAGCGGGTAGAGGATTGAGGAGAGAAGATACATGACGTGGCTCAGAAAAGGGCGGCTTATGGACCCAACACCCCTGCAGCCGAGCTTGCATATGTTTGCGTCAACCAAGGGGTACCTGGAGCACAGGGGGTAGGGAATTGAGGAGAGGGGAGAGATGCCGTGCCTCAGCGAAAAGCTGCTTATGGACCCAGGACCCCTGCAGCCTGTAGCTGTTAGCTCCCTCGTGTTGGCATCAACCAAGGGGTACCTGGGGCACAGTTTTGAGGCGCCTCAAAACTCAACCAAGGGGTACCTGGGGCACAGTTTTGAGGCGCCTCAAAACTCAACCAAGGGGTACCTGGGGCACAGGGGGTAAAGACAGTAGAATAAACAGGATAAGCAGAAAGCGACAGAGGGAAGAAGAAGAAGGAAGACGAAGCAGAAGGGATTGGACGCATCAAAACTCGGTTCGAAACGGATAAGCCCAAACTTACTCCCTCACATGCGGATACGCCCGAACTAACTCCCTTACATGGATAAACCCTACTTCTCTCGAGCACGCGTGTGTACTCACCCAGTTCGTCCCTCCCGCCATGCGTCGAAGAGAGCAGCATCTGTGGACCAATCTCGGCCGTTGAACTGCAGCCTGCGTGGCCCACCTGGTGCGGTGCGGTGTGGTATGGTGCAGGGAGGGGATGAGTGAGATCATAAGAGTGGCGCATCAGCATGGCGGAGGAGTCAGTGAAAAGACAAATGCCATCATGGGGACGGAAAGCAAGCGAGAGAGACCGAAGTGATTGTTTCGTCAACTCAAACAGCTTGAACGAAGTGAGTGATTGTTATGCGTTCATCAGCTGCGGAGGGGATGAGGTCATGACAGTGGTGCATCAGGTGACTTTTGAGTTGACTCAAAAGTCACCACGGAGGGGATGAGGTCATGAGAGTGGTGCATCAGCATGGCGGCGGAGTGAGTAGAACGACAAGTGCCAACATGGAGACAGCAAACAAGAGAGACAGCAAACAAGGGAGACAGACGTGAGATAACAGAGCACGGGTGGGCATGGCGGTAGCATTGGTACACTTGGCTCGACAGAAGCAATGTAGGTTGTGCCAGACGCAAGTGCAGCAGCTCATGTGGTTGCGCCAAGTGTACCAAGGTGGAGTGAGGAATAGACAAGTGAAACGGACCAAGGTGGAAGATGGAGTTGCCACATTTGATGGAGAGGAATCGGAAGTAGTCCCGCCATATGAGCTCAAAGAGAACCCTGCATGGCGTGCGGGGAGGGGACAAATGGGTGCGTCAGAGTCCGCTGTTTCTGAAGGGTGTTTTTTATCATTCTCAAGAAAATTGCAGGGTGTTTTTGAGAATTCTCAAAAACACCCTGCAAAACCCTGCATGGAGTGCGGGGAGGGGACAAATGGGTGCGTCAGAGTCCGCTGTAAGGCACCTCGAAGTTCAGACACATCAGATCGAGAGGAATCGGAAGTAGCCCCGCCATATGAGCTCAAAGAGAGCCCTGGGCGGGTGGGGAGGGGGCGAGGATGGACGCATGAGGGAGTTGGTCAGTCGGGTCGGTCGGTGAGCACATGGGAGCCGAAAGAGACAGTACTGCTATATCAGCCCAATCAAACAGTACCCTGAAGTGTGGGGAGGGGAGGGTGGATGGACGCATAAGGGAGTTGGTGAGTGCATGAGGGGGTCGGCCAGAGAGTGCATGAGGGGGTCAGTCGGTCAGTCGGTGAGGACATGGGAGGCGAAAGGCAGTATGAATGAGCTTCTGGCAGCTGAGAGGAGAACGCGGAGTACGAGGAATCGGAACTAGTCCCTCCAAGCGAAACGAGGAGGGGTGGCAGATATACGCGCTCATGGGAGAGTTGGGCTTGAAGGGGAGAAGGGGCTCCACGCGGCAGGCCATGGGTTGGAAGGGAATGGGTGGGGGGCCTCGACGTGGGAAGCCAGGGAAACGTTCAAGTCCACTCGAAAGTCACCTTATAAGACAGTTGAAGCAAAGAGGAGAAGGGCGTCAATGCGTAGGGAAGTGGGTTGGAAAGGAATGGGGGTGCTCGACATGGTTGCTCGACGAGGGAAGCTGGGAAAAGTGAGCAAGTGAGCGAGGGGGAGGGAGGGAGGGAGAGTTTACCAGTATGTTGACTCGTTCGCAACCCTTTCCCTCTCATACCGCAGAACCTGATGGCAAGCGCGTTACACAGTAACAAGCACAATTCACAGAAGCGGACAGAGATAAATTGAAGTGCTTTTGAGGCCTGGCAAAGTTAGAGCTTTCAAGGCTACACGCACAAAATTATAAACTGCACCTTACTCTGCCTCACCGCACCGCATCACACACCTCTGCATGGACCAAGCGAGCAGAGATGCACCCATGCACCTCTCTCTGCCGCTCTCACTTACCATGCTGCACCGCATCACACCTCCTGGCACCGCATTATACCTCTGCATGGATGAGCCGGGCAGAGATGCACCCGTGTGCCAGCCACGGGGCAAGCTTGGTGCTGTAGTCCGCCCCCAGCATGCCGTTACGGGTCACTTTGTACTCCTTAATGCACTCCCGCTTCCAAATGTAGTGATGCAGGCGTTCCAATGCCGCTGTCTCCCCGCCCTTGAATGGCAGCACGCCCCGTGGGTCCTGGGTTGGTTAAGGGAGCAGAAAGAGTCCAGCTCGTACCCCTTACTGCAGTCTCGCTTCCAGATACAATCCTCCAGGCGCTCCCACGCTGCTGACTCCCCGCCCTGGAATGGCAGCACGCCCTGGCGCTCCTGGTCTGGGGGGCTGGGAAGGAGGAGGGACGAGCCGGTTTGTACTCTCTATAGGCAGTCCTGCTACATTCAGATTGAGAACGCCAAACAGGGCAGCTACCCTCTAGACCGACGGAGCTACCAAACAGCACAGGTACCTGTGGCGGCGGGTCGTCAATCCCAAGGTCCGCCAGGGAGGGCAGGGAGCCAATGCCGCCGAGCCTGGCTACAGCTTCGGCAGAGAGGAATGGACCAAGGCTGGCAGGCATGGTGAGCGGCGGACGGACCTTGGACTTGGACTCTACTGCCTGGTGTGGGAGAGAAACGGGGGGCGGGGTGACAAGCAGCGAGAAAGAGATTGAGGTAGAGAGAAGGCGAGAGAGAGAGAAAGGGAGGGGAAGTTGAGGGGCAGGCTGGCGTGGTGAGCGGCGGTCGGACCTGGTTGGACGTTGTTTCTACTGCCTGGTGTGGGAGAGATACGGGGTAGCAAGGGATGGGGTGGGGGGAGAATACCAAGAGACATAGAGAGGGACGGAGAGAGCGCTGGAGGTACCACCAGGGTGATGCCAGGGAGAGACGAAGGGAAAGGTGGGAAGAAAGGGTGAAAAGCAGGATAGGCTGAAGAGGAGGATGAATGGCTCTCAGATGTGTCTGTGTGTGAGGTGAGTACTGCGGAGAGGCCAGCAGAGAGAGTTGGCCTCTCTGCTGTGCTACTCACTGAGCCATTATCCTCCTCTTCAGTCTGTGAGTCTCTGTGAGTGCCGCAGAGAGGCCAGCAGAGAGAGTCCAAGTGCGACATGGATGAGCGAGCTAGGCTTGGCTTGGACTACGCTGGAGCTTGATACATTGAAATGCGGTAAGCCAAGCACTGAGAGCCCAAGTGCGTGCGACATGCATGAGCAAGCTTGGCTTGGACAACACTGGAGCTTGATACCATATTTCAAGATCGCTGGAGGTTGACAACTCCATTCAAGAACAACGCGCCCTGCAAATCAGATTCTTGGAAACTCCAACTCGTCGTCGTGGTGGGTATTTCCCAATACCCGGGAAATACCCACCACGACCACGACGACGATGACGACGACAACTTAGACAAACCAAACCGAAACGACATACTGAGTGTACACGTCAGGCAGGCTGGCAGGATTCCAAACCAAACCCACTCTGACACAATGACATACAAAGAACAACCGTTGTAACTTGTAAGCACCCCGCACCATGCACCATGCACCATGCACCATGCACCCCGCACCCCGCATCCTGCACCCTGCGCCCTGCACCCCGCAAACTCACCTTTCTGAACTGAGTGTACACGTCAGGCAGGCTGGCAGCAGCAAACGGCAGGTCGTCCACGTGGTACATGGTCAGGCCCCATATCAGATCCAGCTTGGGGCGGCGTCCGTCGGCAGGACCTGGCTCGGGCCGACCCTGACCTGTTGGTCCTCCTGTGGCCCTCGTTAGAGTCACTTTCTCAAGGGCATGCTTCAGGTTCCGCTCCACCCTGACCTCCTCGTCTGTTGTTTCCCCCTGAGCCACCACCTGACGCCGCCCCAAACAGCAATGCCACAACAGGTATTGTCTCAGGTCGACTGTCATGCCTTGTCATGACACTTCGAAGAGGAATGAAAGCAGCGAAGGATACGAAAGGCTGGCCTTCGGGCGGCCCCACTCTCACAGTCAGGTCCGACCCCATCAGCACTTGTCACCCACCCAACACCACCACGCACCACCACGCACCACCAAGCACCAGCCAGCACCAGCCAGCACACCACCTACCACGTGTGCACTGAGAGCAGCCGCCAGCGCTTACAGCACGGTTTCAGGCGGCCCCACTCAATCAGGTCCGACCCACCCATGTCCCATGTCTCATGTCCTATGTGCCATGTCCCATGTCCCATGTACCATGTCCCATGTCCCATGTCCCATGTCCCATGTCTCATGTACCATGTACCATGTCCCATGTCCCATGACTCATGTACCATGTGCCATGTCCCATGCACCACGTACCATGTCCCATGTACCATGTACCACGTACCATGTCCCATGTACCATGTACCATGTACCATGTCCCATGTACCATGTCCCATGTACCATGTACCATGTCCCATGTACCATGTACCATGTACCATGTGCCATGTACCATGTACCATGTCCCTTGTGCCGTGTCCCATGTCCCATGTACCATGCACCCCACACCCCCACACACCACCTACCACTTGGGCGTTCGGAGCAGCCGCCAGCACTGGCAGCACGCTTTCAGGCGCCCCCACTCTCACAACCAGGTCCGACCCACCCATGTCTCATGTCTCATGTCTCATGCCCCATGTGCCATGCATCCCACGCCCCCACACACCACCTACCACATGGGCGTTCAGAGCAGCAGCCAGCGCGGGCAGCACGGTTTCAGGCGGCCCCACTCGCACAATCAGGTCCGACCCCACTGCCTGCAGCCTGGCCCTCAAGTCCGCCACACTCTCTAGCAGGAAGCGCGCGCGGTGGGCTGGTAGGAGGGGACAGGGGGACAGGGGGAGAGGGGGGCAGGGGGACAGGGGGAGAGGGGGACAGGGGACAGGGTGACAGGGGGACAGGGGGACAGGGGGGCAGGGGGGCAGGGGGGCAGGGGGGCAGGGGGACAGGGGGACAGGGGGGCAGGGGGACAGGGGGGCAGGGGGACAGGGGGGCAGGGGGGCAGGGGGACAGGGGGACAGGGGGGCAGGGGGGCAGGGGGGCAGGGGGACAGGGGGGCAGGGGGGCAGGGGGGCAGGGGGGCAGGGGGAATAACAGGGAAGCGAAAGGGGGGACAGAGCAGAGCGCAATCGGACCCCACCGCCTGCAGCCTGGCCCTCAGGTCCGCCACACTCTCCAGCAGAAAGCGCGCGCGGTGGGCTGGTAGGAGGGGGGTGGGGGAGGAGGGGGAGGGGGGGGGTGTTGAAGGGGAGAAGGAAGGCGGAGGAGAGATGAACTGACAGAGTATGCACGCCTCAGGACCGCTACACTCTCCAGCAGGAAGCGGGATCGGTGAGCAGGTTGGCGGGGAGGGGGGGGTTAAAAGGGAGGTAAAGGGGGGAAAGGAGAGCGCAAGCCCACCCCACCGCCTGCCGCCTGTGCGCAGATCCGCTGCACTCTCCAGCAGGAAGCGCGCGCGGTGGGGTAGGTGGGTTGAGGGGGGTAGGGTGAAGGGGAGAGGGAGGGTAGAGGACCGATGACCTGAGAGAGTATGCAGCCTGTGCTGCAGATCCGCTGCACTCTCCAGTGGGAAGCGCGGTGGGCCGGAGGGGGGGACAGGGGGGGCGGAGGGGAGGGGGAATAGAGAAAATCTGACCCTCCGCCGACAGCCTCTGGCGCAGGTCCGGCACGGAAAAGCTGCACCCTTCGCAGCGCCAATCCGGACTATTCGCATTGCGCCCGTTATAAGCCATCCGAAGTGATGCGTCTTGCGCGGAAATCCATCGCACCTCCGGTTTTCGGCCATCCGAAGTGGTGCGGCGCGAGTGGAGAAGCAGCGCAGGTGGAAGCAGTAGGCGGGTGGAAGCAGTCCGCGGGTGGAAGCAGCAGCGCGGGTGGAAGCAGCAGCGCGGGTGGAAGCAGCAGCGCGGGTGGAAGCAGCAGCGCGGGTGGAAGCAGCAGCGCGGGTGGAAGCAGCAGCGCGGGTGGAAGCAGCAGCGCGGGTGGAAGCAGCAGCGCGGGTGGAAGCAGCAGCGCGGGTGGAAGCAGCAGCGCGGGTGGAAGCAGCAGCGCGGGTGGAAGCAGCAGCGCGGGTGGAAGCAGCAGCGCGGGTGGAAGCAGCAGCGCGGGTGGAAGCAGCAGCGCGAGTGGAAGCAGTCCGCGGGTGGAAGCAGTACGCGGGTGGAAGCAGCAGCGCGGGTGGAATCAGCAGCGCGGGTGGAAGCAGCAGCGCGGGTGGAAGCAGCAGCGCGGGTGGAAGCAGCAGCGCGGGTGGAAGCAGCAGCGCGGGTGGAAGCACCGAATGGAACACACTGAGCGGACTGCCAAGAAAACGAACTAGTCCCACCTAGAAAACGACTACCAAGAATGCGTTACTTACCTCCCGTCTTAGGAAACCCAAAGTAGTGCGTGGTGGAGAAGCAGCGCGGGTCGAAGCAGTACACGGGCACCGCGATCCCCGCTGCCCGCCACGCGCGCAGCAGCGCCTCGTTGTCGTGCGCGCGCAGATCGCTCCGCAACCACGCGATCGCGACCCCGTCTTCCCGGGCCTTCCCGTCCGCCGCAACTCTCGCCGCCATCGCCGCTGCAACTTCCGCGGATACACGATTTGAGTCAGCTTCAGTACTGGTAGTGCTGCTTGTACTAGCCGAAAAGGAGCCGGAAGTTGCTGCGAACGTGCAGAGTACACGTGAAGGGACTGATGCTGGTCCCTTGGGAGTACCGAGCGCTACGACGGAAAGCTGCAGCTCTTGTAGGCTGAACGCCGTACCGTTGAATTCGCTGGCTATCTGAGACCCGAAGCAACGGCCAGGATTGCTCCTCGAGAAACCTAGAAGAAAAAGTATGCTATTTCTACTAGCAGTAGTGCTTACAGTACCACGCTTTGCACCGGCTGTGACAAGCAATCGGTGACGTGGAGCGGTGAGATCAAGCTGCCGACGTGGCGAGTCAAGCTGCGAAGTGGAATTCCCGTAAATGCGCGTGGAGTGCGGCGGGCGATACGTTACGGTGCTGACGGCGGATGACACGGCGGCGAGTGCGGGGACAGGTCGGAGCGGGGAGAGGAGGGGGATCGAGCTCATGGCGGTCGTCGGGTTACTCGATGAGATGAGGTCTCATTCGCGGAAGAGGGGTCAAGGAGTCGACGCGAATAAGAGCAGCTAGTACGGTTGATGTGCATGGCGCTGAGCATTGCGCGCGGCATGGCGGGTAAAGCGAGAGAGAGGAAGCAGGAGGAGCAACGTGGAGGCTCTGGTTGACTGCCAAGCCTTGGGAAGTATGCTTGCAATTGAGCAATGAGAATTGTTTTGGCAGTGAGGCCCGTGGAGTGGAAATGGCCACGACAGCGGCCGAGTGGCGTGGCGCCATGGATGCCACTAGATTCAGTGACCATTTGGGGGAGACCAAGCAGGGAAAAATGCCGCTCTCTTAGCTATAGTACCTGCTGTTACAAAAAAAGTGCTGACCTCGTATCTTTCATAACCTTCAGTTCTTTACGATGTCACCTGCTGCCATTATTCAAACAAAATTCATGCACAATTTAACCATGGGCATAATTGTTTGAGCCACCATTCCTTGCATATGCTATAATTCATTTTTCCTCTATCCTAGTTAGTTCCTTCGTATGTACATACTTGTATGAAATTTCTGGTGCTAGTGACGGAGCATATCGAGGATATACACAAATCAAACAACCCACAGGCATTGACTCCAGAGACCGCCAATCAATGTGGGACATCGTCGAAGATCATTGCCAAGTCTGCATATAGCCCTTGCCTGGCTGGCACTTCAGTGCCTTCAGCCCAGAGTTTGCTTGGTCGCACTTGGACGACTCATGCGACCCAGGATGCGACTGTTTTCACCAACCATTTTCAGGCCCATCCCACCACCACCCACCTCCGCCTCCCCAAACCAATCGGAGCAAGCCCGAAGCAACAACACCTGCTTCCGAACCGAGCGCGCACCACTTCAGCCTCCGCCTTCGTGGGGCGCGCTGTGTTTTGCTAAGGTGTCGCTTCGGTTCGGACACGTCGTGACATGACTGGTTGACCGGCCGTCGCAAGCGCGATCGCTTTTGCCACCGCTGCCCGCCGCAAAAGCTGGGCACAGCATCCGAAATTGGCCATGTCATGTCATCTGTGCGGGCTGGCAATGAAGATGCTTCTCTCGCTGCCCCCCTGCTAGCTGCAGGGTGTGCTCCAGCCAACTGGTAGCTGATTGGCTGGAGTTTTCGCAGTGTTGGTTTGCGACATTCTTTGCCGTGTCCAACAGAGCTCATCTCGGCTGGTGAGCGTCGCTTCCATGGAGCAAGCGAAGGGCTGTGGTGGTGTGGTGCGGCCGTCGGACAAATGGTCTTCGTTTGGGCATCCCTCGCGGCGCGAGCAGATCGGTCGTCCACATCATCCCGCTCTGGCTCGCGCGAACCTACGAGAATGGCCACTGCTGATCGGGCGTAGGGCAGCAGCAGAGAAATGTAGGAAAGGACGTGGCCTTCTGGGAGTGATGGACGGAGGAATCGAGGAAGGGGAGTCATGAGGTTGCGGTTGGGTGCAGTGGTCTGGAGAGAGGTTTTATACTGATGAAAGTGTGGGACAACAATGGGCAGCACGATTTTTGTAGATTTCTCCCTCCCGTCGTGAGTGCGACAGGTAGATTCCCGTTTCCCCCTCACTCACCTTTCTTGCCTGTCCTGCTTGCTTCTTCGCCTTCCTTCCGCTCTGTCCATCCATTCTCGCCCTTTCCCGTCCATTCTTCATCTCCTCTCAGCTCGTAATTCGTGAATTCGATCACTCCTCCGTCCTTCCGTCTCGTCCAAATAGCACCTTCGTATTCCGTTTCTTCATATTCTAGTCTCCGACACCGCTGCTCCCTTGCTTTTTCACGCTTTCGCGCATTAGAGCGAGGTACAAATACCTAGAAGCTCTGTATAGTGTGGAATCTGTCTCTCGTCACCGCTTTTTCCCCGAATCTTCGCGTTCCGAGGATTCGAACCTCGTTGACCGCTCAGCACGGGAAGCTATTTCAGCTCGACATGTATCGGAGTTCATTTCGGGAAAAATAGAAGCCGGACTCTCGCTAACTACTAGTTACAGCGGAAGTAACTAGCCACACGCAAAGTAATTACATACAGCACAGCTTGTTGACTGCACTCGGTTCCCTACTACCCGCACAGAAACTCCCGTATTCGGCCGCCTGACGAGCAAGCACCTCCGCCGCAGTTTCGGACCGCTTCTGTTTTCTTGGATTCGAAGGGTCGCTCTATCGCCATAAGGATGCCTATCGGAGCTTCTCCTCCCGCTATAAGCTTCTTCCATTCCCGTCACCTCGTGCACAGCCAAAGTTCCACGATGTCGATATCGATATCGACTACCGCTGGTGTCGCTGAAAGTGCGGTACCAAGCTTGTCGCGCGCGCAAAAACCGGCGCACCCGCCGGAACTCATTCCGGCGACAGAACCCAAGAGCATGCCGTCCGCCAGGGTAATATCTTGGGCGAGGGTGACGTCAGCGGAAGGGGTGTCAGCAGTAGCAGCAGCGCCAGGAGCCGAATTTTGTTGTATCGAGGCGCCTGAATCCTGGGCGTCAGATGCGGCAGCAAGCCATTTTCAGACGTCGTCAGCTGTAGCAGAGACGCTAGTGGCGGCCCTGGCAGGAGCGTCGCCAGGTCAGCGTGGACGACAACAACGTCGCCAACAACGTCGCCAGCAGCGTCGTCAGCATCCGGCTGTCGCCGTCGCTCGAGACTGCCTCTGGCGATTGTTACAGGTATCGCACCCGCACTATTCGGCTCGAGCGCCATAGCGCCTTAGTGCGGTGGCCGGATGTTCCATGCCCCAGCGTTTGCGCGCAGGCCCTTTCCCCCCATGCCGAAAGTTCGCACGTTCTCCATTCCCCAGGCCCCACGCATCGCAACCCCCCTTCCCCCATGCCCCCGCACCACCCGCTTCCCATCTCCCCTCTCATCTCCCCTTCCCCCACTCCATCGCTCCCCCATCTGCCCCCTTCCCGCGCCGTCCGACGGCGCATTCTCGGTCTCCCGCAGACGTGCTTGGAGCTTTGCTGGCTCGCCCTGGTCATCGTCGTCTTCGTTATAGGCTGCACGCTCTCGCGCTATATCGAATCCATGCGGACTCCTTATAACGGGGCTGGCCTGGAACTCGCCTTCAGCGAAGCGTGCAGAGGAGAGGCCCACACCTCCGTGCGTCCCGCCATGCTTCCCGCCGTTCTCCCCGCCGTTCTCCCCGCCGTTTGTTCCGCCGAGCTTCGCACCGCGTTCTCCGTACCCGGCGCAGCTTCGCCGCGTCTCCCGCTGCACTGCAGTTTAGGTATAAGACGGGTTTTAATCTGAATCGCACGCCGACGGCGGGGTTGGCGCGCTACTCGCTCGCATATGCAGATTTTGTTCCACACCCCGCGCCAACCCCCCGCTCAATGTACTCGCTCGCCTTTGGCCCTATGGCTCGAGCCCGTCGCTTCAACTTCCGCCTGAAAATCTGCAACGTCCGCCTTCCGACCGCTTCCCTTCTCCGCTCTTCCCTGAAAATCTCCTTTCGTCCCTCCTTCGCGTTTCCCCCATCTACGCTCCCTCCCTCCCGCGCTCCACAGAGTCGTCACCCGCGCTAGAGCTCGCACTCGCCTGCAACCATTCGCAGCGTTCCTTATGCAAGCGCAGCCAAGGCAGCCATTCGTATTCCAAGCGCGGTACTTACGGCGCTGTGTCCGCGCCAGGGGTTCTGCCGACGGGCACAGATGACGTCATCTGGATCCGTCGCCAAACCGAGGATGCTGTCGTCAGCTTGTCGGACGACGAGATGAGCCCGCGCTCAACGCCCTTGGAAACTGAGGTGCGATTTGGGGTTTCGAGGAAGGGCGTATTCCAAGTCTCTTTTACAAAACTTAATCTCGAGGACTTTTCGGAAAAATAGGGTTTGTAGGGCTTATCAGCAAGGAACGTTATGGGACAAGGGCTCAAGCCTACTCAACATTTCACCTCGCGTAACACGACAAGGGCTGAGATTGTAGCAGAGGAAATGTGGGGTGACAGGTTGGGTAGGCTTGAGGGTAGGTGAGGGCTGAAGTGAAATAGTAGCAGGTGGGGTGTGAAAAGTGGTGGCAGAAGGTAACGATACAACAAATCTAGGAGGAGTGCAGTCCTCTTTCACGTGTATGTGAATTGAATTGCCCATGATGGATCTGTAACATCCAGACCAGAAACACCCACGAAGCATACTCTTCCACCTCCTTCCATGAAGACAAAACATTTTCTACCCAGAGTTTCCTCCACCTCCCCCTCTCCTCCACCTCCTCCACCTCCTCCACCTCCATGCCACCCTCACTTTGCCTCTTTCCCCTCCTCGCATCTCCTCTTCTTCTCTCGCTGTTTGCCTTGCCCCTCCCCTTCCCTCCTTTCCTGTACACCTGAGCAGGCACCGCAACGTCAGCTGGTCGCCACATCATCACCGGCTACAAGGCATCTGTTGCTGTATGGAGAACATACATCAAGTCGGGCGAAAGTGAAGAAGAGGGAGGAGCAAGAGCCAGGGCGCAAGAGTGCCTCATACCTGGCTTTGCTCGCAAGTTCTTCCAGTAATGAGTCACACCCAGTAATAGGCGCAGTGGACTCAGCAGCAGCCGCACGAGAAAGCGTCGCCACAGCTGCACGGAATACTGTTGATAAAACAGAGTTGCTGCCTGAAGCATTGCCTGTGTTGGGAAAGCAAACTCAACCTTTCACAGGAATCAGCAGCTGACCTTCATGACTTGTCTAGGTTTGTGTATGGATGGAGAATTCAAAGTGGAGATCCGGGGAGGTGCCGAAGACCTTGGAGGGGCAACCTCTCCAGTCTCAATTGACTAGACGGCTGCAAACTGGTGGTGCTTAACTATGCCAACAAACTGGCAGTCTGTAGGGAAGACGATGGTAGGTGGCGGTGATGAGGGAACGGTAAGACAAATTGCATACATTAATGAATTTAGTGCCGTAGCTTTGTGATGGCCACATGTACATGTGTATATTTGTCAGTTCTGCATGTGGTTTTATTATGGGTGAGCTATAATTTTTGGTGAGAACATTTGTTAAAGTTGAGTGGATATATGGTATGAACATTTTAGTTATCTTGCATTGAACATCAATTCCGAGTCTTTGACAGCCGAATTACCTAGCGAATAGCGAGTACAACTTGAAACGGCCAGATACACAAGCGATGCCTTCAGGTGGCTGGTCTGTTGAGCTGGCTGTTCGCCCTGGGTCCGGTGCCGCACGGGGGAGCCTTCCGTTCTCTTATTTGATTCGCTGAATTCTACACTTGCTCATGCAAGGACATTCCTCTGTTGCGAGCCGCGGAGATTGCAGCGTTCGTCCTACTTCGCTGCCTTTTCGCGAAAATCCGTCCAGGCTGTCACCAGCAGGCAGAAACGCGAAACGCTCTTGGCGAAAACGCTAACGGCGAAACGCAAAACGGATTCCAACAGCAGATCAGGGAAGGCGGCGGCATCTGTTACACTCAAGGGACTTGTCTTCCATCCTCCCATCCATTGCCTTCCCTGTCTGCTGCTGAGGGCGTGTCACAAAATCGTTTTGGCAAAATACCATACTAAACCGCTCTACTAACTTATTTGAACGTTCCAGAACGCTAAATATCTTAGCGAGGCGCTCTCGGATGTACTGAGCTCACAGGCCCATCTGCTGTTCGGTTATCCATTTGTCGTGCTTCTGTTGTTCCTGTGCGCTGCTCTCCAGCATCCCATACCAGCCCACAAACATCATCCAGCTCTCCATGGCCATGGATGGACGCGCTCTCTTGCTCCATTCCCAATGTCCGTGTCCCTAGCCTTAACTTTCCGCCGTCTTCATAGTATCCACTTGATCCCACGCCTTTCCTCAAGCCAATTCGCGTAGTATTAGAATGAGCTGGTAGGCCGTCGCTGGCTACTGCGAATTATTTCCTGTCACGCTGTAGACTGGACAGTCATTTATGCGATAATAGCGGATAGTATCAGCCATAGTAGCCTAGTTGACCGAACATTCATTCCTCAGACCAGCCCTAGCCCAGATCCAAACACCTCCCCCAATCATGGCTGCGCGACCTAGTCAACCTTCGCCGATCCTCCTCTCCCCTCTAGTCCCGTTGCTCCTCTCTTCCCTCCTCTCGACCCTAGCTTTTCTTTCTGCCCGCGCGGGCAGCCCGAGCGACGACGAAGCGGCGCTGGTCGCGTTCAAAAAGGCCATCCACGTGGACCATCTCAACGTGCTCGAATCCTGGACGTCCGATCGCCCCGTGTGCTCCTGGGAGGGCGTCACCTGCAGGAGCGCCGCGCCGCCACGTGTCATCAGCCTGACCATCTCGCAGGGTTTCCTCGAAGGTTCTCTGACGCCTGAACTCTCGAAATTAGACCAGCTGAGGAAGTTACACCTGGACGGCGGGATGCTTTCCGGGAAGATTCCGGCTCAGTTGGGGCAGCTTCGCTGGCTGAACAGCATTGACTTGAGTGGTAACCACCTGACTGGCGAAATCCCGCCGAGCGTTGCTCTCCTGAGCAACCTGCGCAACCTCGTGCTCCGTTCCAACAATTTCACAGGGGCAATTCCCCCAGGAATATTCGGCCTGCCGAAACTGGAGACGCTCGCCCTCGATATTAACAGCCTGACCGGCGAGCTGCCCGACGTCCCGGGCAGCTACAGCCCAAGCCTCTCGACCCTCAACGTCGGCGTGAACTACCTTTCCGGACCTATTCCTAAGGCTCTCGGCAGCTTACCGAACCTGATTCAGCTAGACCTGCATCAGAACTCGTTTTCCGGACTTATTCCGCCCGCGCTCGGCGCGCTTGCGAATCTACAGTACCTCGATTTGAGCGGTAACCAGCTTTCTGGCGGTATTCCACCGGCGCTGGCGGGGCTTACGTCGCTCCAAGCGGGTATTTTCTCAAGTAACCAGCTCAGTGGGGTGGTTTCGCAGCCTTTCCTCGCAGGAATCGCTTCCTCTATAGACGTCCTCGATGTAAGCAGAAACTCGTTTACGGGATCGGTTTCGAGATTTGCAACGCTAACGAACGCGGTGTACATCGAGCTGAGCAACAACAATTTCGTGGGGGGCATCTCGAAGGCGTTCGGCGCGCTGCCGAACCTGCAGCAGCTGGGGCTGTCCGACAACGAGCTGACAGGTGGCATCCCCGCGGCAATTACGGAGTCCAGCAGCCTTGTCGTCTTCTCCGCGGACCGAAACAAACTGAGAGGTGAGAAGCTCACAGGGGAGGTGGGGAAGTGGGTGGGAGAAGGAGGGAGAGGGGGGGAGGGGCCAGAGGGAGGATTGGAGTGCGAAGAGAGGAAGGCCGGGGGGTTGAGAGGAGAGGGGGAGTCTCCTGACCTTTAGGTGGGTAGGTGCCTTGCCTGTCTGCCTCCAGTAATGCTCCAATATTTGTCCCTTTTTTTGTTTCTTTTATTCTGTTTTAGGCTCTCACTCTTCTCTTCCACCCCTCTCACACCTCCCAATGTGCCATTCTTCTCCACCCCCTCCCAATTTCAGGCAGCATTCCCCCCTTCAACTGCGCACACACCGGATTCATGGCTCTCTCCGTCTCTGGAAACGCCTTCCACGGAGGCATTCCCCGCAGCCTGGCCAGCTGCAGCAGCAACCTCTACGTCCTCGACGTCAGCCACAACAACCTCTCGGGCCCGATTCCTCCGTTTCTCGGCGATCTGGTTGAGCTGAGGAACCTTACCCTGGCTTACAACAATTTCTCTGGGATTGTCCCGCCCAAGATGGGGTACCTTGCCAATTTGGTTTCCCTGGACCTGTCGTGGAACAACCTGGAAGGGCCCCTGGATGCGAGGTTTGATATGGTGAAGGTTCTCGATGATCTGCAGCTTGCAGGAAACAACCTGACAGGCAGGATTCCGTTCACTTTTACTCGGTTTCCCAAGGCGTCATTCCAGCCTGGGAATGCTGGACTGTGTGGGAAACCCCTCCCTACAATGTGTCCCCCTCGGATAATGGATGTCGGGGATGAGTCTTAGCGTAGGAGTGATGCGAGGGGAGCCACTGGCAATGATATTGACCGTAATGCTGAAGGTAGATAAAGGAAGGGTGGAACTTCTTGTTTTGCAATGTTCTATGGTGGGGGGGATTGTTCAATGCTGATTTTGTTTTCTTGTACCATAGGTAAATTTTGCTACTAGGCAGTTATCGTATGATTCAAATTGTTATGAATTAATCAGATTAATAACAGGTAGTGTAGTAACAAGGAGTTGTGATTCAAGAATGTCGATACAAATAAGGGCCTATGCATTTATAGGCACGAACAAGGCTAGCCGAGAACCACACGAGCAGGTTGGGGCGGTCCAGTTGGCGAAAGCTACGGAAGCGAGGCGCGTCTAGGTTTGAGTTCGCCAAGTGGTTCGGGACCGAAGAAGTTGGCCGAGCCTGGACTTCCGAGAGTCGAGGGCGTACGCGCTGTAGTCGAGCCCAATAAGAGCGTGTTCCTACCCTAGCTCCTAGCCGCCCGTGGCCCCGTCGGCCCCCGTCACCTAGCGCCTAGCCGCCCGCGGCCCCGTTGCCCCGCCACCTAGCGCTTAGCCGCCCCGCTGGCCCCGCGGCCCCGTCACCTAGCGCCCAGCGGCCCGTGGCCCTGCCGCCCCATGGCCTAGCCGCCCCGTGGCCTAGCCGCCCCGTGGCCTAGCCGCCCCATGGCCCCGTAGCCCAACCGCCCCGCAGCCTTGTCGTCCAGCCGCCCCGCGGCCCCGTCGTCCCAGCTGCTCCGAGGCCCCGTCGCCCAGCCGTCCCGCGAACCATCGCCCCGCTGCTCCGCGGCCCCGTCGCCCAGCTGCCCCGCGACCCCGTCTACCAGCTGCTCCGCGGCCCCGTCGCCCAGCCGCCCCGCGGCCCCGCCGCCAAGCAGCCCCACAACCATTCGCCCCGCTGCTCTGCGGCCCCGTCGCCCAGCCGCCCCGCGACCTCGTCTCCCAGCTGCTCAGCCGCCGTGGTTCCCGGTCCCCGCCCGCTTCACCTGCCCTCACCACCGTCCTACACCGCGCCCCACCATGCTGCACCGTCCAGCACCTCCCTGCAACGCGCCCCACCTCATTGCACCGCACACCGCTCTGCACTATGTGGCATCGCACTACACGGCGCCCCACCGCGCTCCAGCGCACTCTATCGTACAGCACTCCTTCTCACCGCTCCTCGCCGCTCCGTCACCGTCTGTTCGCGACTGCAGCGGCCTTCATGGCGGACTCGGTGCTGCGCTTTGACGCGGAGAGTCAGCCGATTGAGTTTGACTCATGGCTCGTCGATCTCCGCCGTCGCCTCACTGATCAACGGCAGGACGGCCACTCCCTGGCCGTCCACATTGATGGTACGCTACCCTGCCCTGACCCCCCTGTTGCTCTCCCCGCTGACTGTGAGTCCGCCGCCGCTGCTGCCCTTGCCCGTGCTGTCTGGCTGTCACGTGACGCTGTCGGTCAGCTCGCGATTAGCCATGCCCTACCCCTGTCACAACGCTGCCGCTTTAAGTCGGTCAGGACTGCGCAGGAGTTCCTAGAGGCTGTTGTCGCGTGTTATTCCACCCCGTCCTCTGCCTCTGTCGGTCGACTGATCCTTCCCATGCTCCTCCGTGATCTCGCGTCTTTCCTCACTGTCGCTGACCTGGCCACGCACCTGCGCACGCTCGGCGCTTTTTGGTGTGCTACCTGCATTCAGGCCCAGCTTCGTGTGTTCCAACCCCCTATCTGCTCTACCCTTTACGTGCTTGCCACCCGCCTCCCTGACCGCTTTGCCACTGCCCGCGACCACTTTCTTAGTCTGCACCCCGCTGACCTCACCCTCTCTGACTTTGTCGACACCCTGTCTACCATAGAGACCCGTCAGCGCTCTATCGCCCAGTCTAGCGGTACTGTGCCGGTCCCTATCTTTCAGGGCTGTGCTCCTTCTCAGTGCACTTACTCTGACGGTTCTGCGGCTGTCGTTGAGACAGCTCCTGCTGCTGAGACCGCTGTCGCGGTGGCCGCAGCGCAGTCCCATTATGGTAAGGCCCGCCGCCCCAAGGCTGGGCGCGGCGGTGGTAGTGGAGGAGGGGGTGGAGGTGGTGTTGGAGGTGGTTCATCCGCTGGCAGTAGTACAGACGAGGGGGCTGGGGCTGGTGCCTCGGAGCAGCAGCCCCAGCGGGAGCAGCAGCAGACGCCATAGCTTGACCAGCAGCAGCAGCAGCCGCAGCAGCAGCAGTCGCAGCGGAGGGCCGGCTCCCTCCCGCCTGGGTGGCCTGGCGCTGGTGGTGGTGGTGGCGGTGGCCGCGGTGGTCGTGCGCATAGCTCAGCATTGGGTGGTGGTGCGAGTGACGCCTCCCCGCAGGTCATGGAGCGACGCATCAGTTTGGTCATGGAGGTGGCTCATACCTCCATGATCCATGCCGGTGCACCCCATTTTCTGTGGCCATTCGATGTTCGCTACGCCGCCCACCAGCTTAACCTGTGGCCGCACCCTCAACGGCCGCAGCTTAACCTGTGACTCTCCTTTAGACCGGGTCTCCTGGTGACGTATCTGCGTTCCACGTCTAGGACTGCCTTGCTCACATTCGTGCCTCTGGCACGGACAAGCTCACTGCCCGCACCGTCACTTGTGTCTTTCTAGGTTTCCCCCTCGACTCGTCTGACTGGCACTTCTACCACCCGCCGTCTCACCGTTTCTTTCACTCTCGCGACGTCACCTTTGATGAGTCCGCCTCCTTCTACCACCGCTTTCCCCACCGTGGTCCCCCAGTCACTCCCCCACAGTTCTTGGTTCCCCCCCCTCCCCCAGTTGCCCCATTTCCCCCCCCTCCCCGCCCTGCCCCATCTAGTGTAACTCACGTCACCCCCCTCCCGTTGGTTGTCCCTGTCGAGGGTTCTGCTGACTCTCGCGGCTTGACGGAGTCCCTTCCCCCGCCTGTCCTTGCCCCGGTCTCTCCTCCCCTGTTGCCGTCGTTGCTGTCACAGCCACAGCTGCCTCCGCAGCTGCTGTCGCCGTCGCAGCCGCCGTCGTCACCGCCGCTGGGGTTTGTACGTTCTGGGGGTGCTTGGGAGCGTGCAGGAGCGGGTACTGGAGCGGGTTCCCATTCTGGGGGTGCTGGCATTGGGCTTCACGGAGGGAGCCGTGGTCCTGCTGTAGGTTCAAGTGTTGTCGTCCGGGTGCAGTCGTCATATTCTCCGCCGATGCCCGCTCTTCGCCTCCTCGGCCTTCCTTCTCCTGACCGCCCCCCGATGCCTCCTCGGTCGCCGCCGCCTCCTCCTCTGCCGGTCTACGGCCCTGTGTTTCCTCCCGTGGACTCTTCTCCGGCTCGTTTCCCTCCTCGTTCTCCTCCTGAGTCTCCTCCCCTCTCTCTTGACCCGACTCCTCCATCTCACGTCTGGGCTCATCGTCCGTCTCGTGCCCGTCCTACCTCCCCTGTTCCGCGTTCTCACCCTAAGTTGCTTCACTCCCATGCGTCTCTTGCTCCTCCGCTCCTCCCATCTCCTCCTCCGTCGTCGCTCGCTGTGGCTCCACCTCCGTTTTCTGACTTCCTCTGTGCCGCGCGTCCCCTTGTTCCTTGTGTCCTTGCCTCTCTTGCTACCGACCCGTCTGTTCCTGTCTCGAGTCTGTCGGCTCTTGTTGCTGCTGTCACTCGCCGCTACCTGCCGCCTTGACTACGCCACCGCTCTGGTCTTTGACCCCGCCTGCCCTCCGTCTGTCGGGGGTGTGGCTGCCCTTGGCAGTGATGTCCTAGAGGACAGACAGTACGAGCTTGCTTTTCTGTCAGAGGCCGCTCCACATCTCTGTTCCATGCTGCTAGTTCTTGAGGGTGACCCAGACGCCCTTGACATCCCGACCCCTCGCACCTACGCTGAGGCCACTTCAGGACCGTGGGCCTCCCATTGGACAGCTGCCATGGAGCAGGAGATGGCATCTTGGAGATCCACCGGTACCTTCGTCGATGCAGTTCCCCCACTTGGGGTGAACCGAGTCGATGGCCGATGGGTCTTCAAGGTGAAGCGCCCTCCTGGAGAGCCGCCTATCTTCAAGGCGCACTACGTTGCTCGTGGCTTCAGTCAGCGTGAGGGGGTTGACTTCTTTCAGACCTTCGCCCCGACCCCGAAGATGACCACTCTTCGGGTAATGCTACACGTAGCAGCACAGCATGACTACGAGCTACACTCACTCGACTTCTTCACAGCTTTCCTCCAGGGCAGTCTACATGAGCAGGTTTACCTGCGCCACCCCTAGGGCTTCTCCGGAACCTTTCCCCCTTGTACCGAGTGGCTCCTTCAGCGCCCTGTCTACGGCCTGCATCAGGCGCCCCTTAAGTGGCACGACACACTGCGTGCTACACTTGAGGACCTGCAGTTCTTCCCGTCGTCTGCGGACCCCTCGCTCTTCGTCCACTCTGACCCGACTCCGTTCTACATCCTTGTTTACGTAGATGATCTGGTTTTGTCTACTGCAGACAGAGGCGCGGTGGCCTCTGTGAAGGCCGAGTTGCTGAGAATACACACCTGCACTGACCTAGGAGAGCTGCACCGCTACCTTGGCTTGCAGATCTCCAGGGACAGAGCAGCGCGCACCATCACTCTCACACAGTCACACCTGGGGCGCCAGGTCCTTCAGAGGTTCGGCTTTCAATTCTCTTCCCCACAGCCCACCCCTCTGCCAGTAGACCACTGACTTTCTGCTCCAGTTCCGGAGAAAGCTGTAGAGCCTAGTGATCCTTACGCAGAGTTGATGGGTTGCCTCATGTACCTGATGACTTGCACTCGTCCAGATCTCGCATACCCTCTTAGCATCCTGGCCCGCTTTGTGGCCTCCGGCAGACACCGAGCCTTGGTGCAGGTGCCATCTTGTGGAAGCCCACCCGTTCCTCATATGATGCCCAGTCTAGCTGTGAGGCTGAGATCTACGCAGGTGCCATGGCGGTACAGGAGCTCCGCTGGCAGACTTTCTTGCTCACAGACTTAGGTGAGCGGCCTAGCTCTGCCCCGGTCCTGTACGCTGACAACAGGGCCATGATCCTCCTGTGTCAGGAGCCCAGACTCGAGGGCAGAGCGAAGCACATCCAGCTGCGGTACTTCCTCCTACGCAAGCTACAGCAGCATCGCCAGGCCCGCGTAGTACACTTGGCCTCCGGTACACTTGGCATATATTATCCTGACTGGCCTTGTGGCTTCCTCCCAGTGGCGGGACTAGTAGTGCTGCCATGGTCTTGTTCTTGCCTTGTTTGTACT